CTAGATACCGCGCATGCACACATGAAGCTTCACACGTTTGCCCGCCGTTTCCATAGCCCAGTTCCAACAGGCTGCAACCTGGGGACCCCTGACTTAATTGGGCTCAGATCTTGTTTAAATCTACTCTATTTTAGTAGACTTTTAACACCTCTGTTGTTGTTTTTTTCTGGACTTTCTCTGTGCTTAAGATGAGGCCTTAGCCCCAGCTCATTCTGAGCCATAATATGTGTTAAAGGCTTTACTGAATAAACCATCATTGGGTAGGTTCATACTATATGTTAACAAATAAACCATGATTTTCAAACCGCATAGCTGACTTTCTGCAGTTGGAATAAGCTATAAACAAAATGTGCTGCTTGTTTAATACTTGTGAAATGATGGCAGACGGTGCTGATCTTTTTGAATATGTTTTTCTGCTTCTATCTAGTTTGTCCCAATTGTTCAAGCTGAAAAGGAAGAAAGGGCAGCAATCAATGGAAGTTACTTAGCCAAGATCAACCCTGAGGATGGCAGCTGTCTGCTCCAAAAATACAGCTCCCTATATAATGATTGTGAATTTGGGCTGCTGGCTAACCTATATGCAAGTGAAGGCCTTCCTGGAAAGGTACGTGGCTCTGTCAGCTTTTAAAAATGGCTTTTTATAAACAAAACATCCAGGCAAGGACTACCAAAAAAACCCCAAAACCCGATTAAAAGACACAAAATTAAAAAAGCTAACAAGCCCAAACAAACAAACTTCTACATGGGAACATGCTTTGTTTTGTTTTCTTTTGCTTCATTTTATTGACAAATTTTTATAGCCACACATATTACCAATGGAATTTCTGGTGTTAAACACATATATTTACAGCTAGTCCTCAAGGTACACCAATAATCGAGCCCAGAATTACAGTCATAAATTATGCCGGCTGTTAAGTGGGTTATCAAATAACCAACCTGATTTTACAACTTTTTTTTTTGCAGTGTTTCTTAAGCAAACCCATCCCATATTCGCAATGGGCTTTTTTTTTTTGCCAGAAACCAGAAGTAAACACTTTATTGTTGCGAAGTAGTATCCGACCCAACGTGACCCCATGGACAACGTTCCTCCAGGCCTTCCTGTCCTCTACCATCTTCCCAGATCAACTTTCTCAACTTTTTCTGAGAGGAATAACTCAATCTATGGGCTCCTGGCCTTGTACTTTTAATGTGGGAATAATGATTTTGACCATTAGAATTGTCAGGTGGAGATTATGGACACAAAATGTTTTAAGTAAGGAGCATTAAGTGTGTCATAATGAAATCTTAGAAGTGTATTGCTCTCAACTCACATTACATTACAGACTTTTCTCTGCTTAACAAAGCAATAATATATCTTCTTTTTTAAGGTCATTGAAGTCCGAGCAAAGAGGAGAATTGGTGAGCAGAATTTCATATCCTGCATAAGGAAAGCCTTGGATAAGCATTATGGTGACAAAACAGTTGGGATGGGAGGTACTTTCATTATCCAGAAAGGAAACGCAAAACTTCATATTATGGTAAGTCGATTATAAGAAGAAGCTTTTCCATTTTTCTTTGGGAAATATGCATCACGCAACAAGAAGAAAAAAAGTAAAGTCTAAATTTCTGTAAATATTTGCAAACTTGCTTTTTTACTGTGTGCTATCAAGTAGTAAGTGTCAATTCTTAGTGTTCACACAGACATCTTCTCCAAGGTAATGTATCCATAACCTGGTCCACCATTGTAATTAAGTCCATCTGCCTTTCTGCTGTTCATCCCTTTCCTTCTACTTTTCTGGCATTAGAGCTTTCTCTAGAACAGGGGTGTCAAATTGCCGGCCCACAGGCTGGTTGCATCATATGGATGCCGCGCCCATCCGAGCTCCGGCAATGCGAAAAAAGTCGTGACATGTCACGTGACGCAGCAAGTTTGACACCTGTGCTCTAGAGAATAGGTCTTTGCATAATTTCAAACAATGATAATTTGAGCCTGATTATTTATGCTTCGAGTAAAAACTCTGGATTGTTCAATGATCCATTAGTTTCTTTTCTTGGAAATCCATGGTTTTCTCAAGAGTCTTATTATATATAGCAGTATTCCAGTATTTGAGAGGCTGTCACAAAGAAGAGGGAGTCAAAATATTCTCCAAGGCAGCAGAGGGCAGGACAAGAAACAATGGTTGGAAACTGATCAAAGAGAGAAGCAACCTGGAATTAAGGAGTAAGATCCTAACAGTGAGGACAATTAACCAGTGGAACAGCTTGCCTCCAGAAATCGTGGGTGCTCCATCACTGGAGGTTTTTAAGAAGAGACTGGACAGTCACTTGTCTGAGATGGTGTAGGTTCTCCTGCTTGAGTGGGGGGCTGGACCAGAAGACCTCCGAGGTCCCTTCCAGCTCTATTCTATTCTAATATTTTTTTTTATTATCTGCCAATAGTGATATAAACTTTACAAGTAGTCTTTCAAATACTAGTCAAAGAAGGTCTGTTTAGCTTTGCAGTGTTCATGTCATCTTGGCCTTAGATTTTGTAGGGACTGGTTCATATACTCTTTTTTGCAAGTCCTTTTAAACCAGAGGTCCCCAATCTTTTGGGCACCAGGGACCGGTTCCATGGAGAGAGGTTTTTCTGCATACCGGAGAGGGCGTGGTTTTGTGTGTTTCCTGCATCCTGCGGATGGGGATTTGCTTGTTTGTGCGGCCCAGTTGCTGGCATGCCGCGGCCCAGTACTGGTCCACGGACCAGGGTTGGGGATCCCTGTTCTAAACCACTAATGGTTGAATAGCAAATATCCCCTTGTGTAATTCCAGCTAGCAGGCATTTGTGGTTGAAATGCACCACGTAGAATGATGATACTTCAAACTGAGGCACATTTAAATGCACATGTAATAAATCAGGTGATTTGGATTTAGCACATTGTCTAAATAATCAACATGATTTACAAACTATGGTTAGAGCTTCCATTTGTAGTAGTTAAGACATGCATTAACCTATTGGAGCTGCTCTTGATTTCTGCTCTTTTAAAGTTAGCATGTTAAAACTAAAAGAAAAAAACCCTAAAGCTAAAATGCTAAAACTAAAAATGTGATTGCTAACTATCTATTGTCTAGGCTAATGAAGAACGGAATTCGCAAACATGGCCAGCAATGCAAAGCCATAATAGCTTGTGTATATTGGCCAGTTACATATTGACACAGATACAGTAGATTAGTTGTTAGCTGTTTGCACAATATACTAAATTCGGTTAGTTCAACTTTAGTTGGTTTTCTCTATAGCTCAATATGTGTTGTTAGTTGCGAAGTCATGTCCAACCCATCGCAACCCCATGGACAATGTTCCTCCAGACCTTCCTGTCCTCTACCATCTTCTGGAGTCCATTTAAGCTCATGCCTACTGCTTCAGTGACTCCATCCAGCCACCTCATTCTCTGTCGTCTTCTTCTTCTATTGCCCTCAATCTTTCCCAGCATTAGGCTCTTCTCCAGTGAGTCCTTCCTTCTCATTAGGTGGCCAAAGTACTTGAGTTTCAACTTCAGGATCTGGCCTTCTAAAGAAGCAACAGTGAGAACTGGACACGGAACCACAGATTGGTTCTAAATTGGGAAAAGAGTCCGGCAAGGCTATATTCTGTCGCCCTGCCTATTTAACTTATATGCAGAGCACATCATGAGAAAGGCAAGGCTAGATGAATCAAAAGTTGGAATTAAGATTGCCGGGAGAAATATCAACAACCTAAGATATGCAGATGATACCACTCTAATGCAGAAAGTGAAGAGGAACTAAAGAGCCTCTTAATGCAGGTGAAGGAGAATGCAAAAGTTGGCTTGAAACTCAACATTAAGAAAACCAAGATCATGGCATCCGGCCCTCAGCTCAATATGTAGGACCTACTTAGTGTTAATTTATATGCATAGTTCATTGTATTATTTTATTCGTTCAATTGTATTATGCAAAGAGAAAGAAGGTTCAGTATAGAACTTAAGCATGTTGTGCAAACTTAACCATTAAGTAAGATTACTGGTTCATTTTGTCCATTATTTTTGACACTGTGTAAAGCCAACAAATGGGATGAATTCCATAAATTATGATTAAATGTGATACACGAACACAGTCCTTGATTGGCAGGAATTTCCCAAGATTTCAGATATGGGTCTTTCTCTCTGAAATTTGGAAAAGGTAGATTAGCAAACTTTCACATTCAAAACAGCCAATAAAGCTGTCATTGAACTACTTGTCCCAATTTTGATGGACAGTTGAAAGTTGTTTGTGCAGCTGGAGAATTTTCTGACTTACATTTCAAAAAGAGTTGAAATACTAGCAGAGATGCAGAATTGTGTCAAAGCAAAACTCATGCCATGTTTGTATATGGGAAGAAACAGATCTTCACGACTTCAGTTCCTGTGTTGTTTCTTTATTCAATTGCAGTCACTTTTTTTTTTTTTTTAATTACAGCCCTCTGAATTTTCTGCCTGCCCTCTGGAAACGGACGAGAAAGTGAACAATTGGCTGAAGTTTTTTGAAATGAAAGCTCCACTCATTTGCCAGCCTGTAATCGTTTCCCAAGATCCAGTAAGTCAGGTCTACTGATGTTTCTCAAGTGAAAAACCCAACATATACTGGCTTGGATGCAAAGTGATCATTATTTGAAGTCATCATTAATTCCTCATACACTGAATTCTGTAACATGCACCAAAGGCTTAGGAAAGAATACAGTGAAAACCAGTTTGATGTAGTGCTGGGGTAGGCAACCTTGGTTCTTTTATGACTCGTGGACTTCAACTCCCAGAATTCCTGAGCCAGCATGGCTCAGCTTGGAAACCTCTCCCTTTCCCCTCAGCATGGCTGGCTCAGGAATTCTGGGAGTTGAAGTCCACGAGTCATAAAAGAGCCAAGGTTGCCTACCCCTGGTAGTGGTTAAGGTGCTGGCCTAGAAACCAGGAGGCTGTGAGTTCTAGTCCCATATTATTATTATTATTATTATTATTATTATTATTATTATTATTATTATTATTATTATTATTATTATTATTATTATTATTATTATTATTATTATTATTATTATTATTATTATTATTATTATTATTATTATTATTATTATCAGGCATGAAAGCTGACTGGGTGACCGTGGGTCAGTCTCTCAGTCCAACACACTTCACAGGTGACAAAAATAGGAAGGAGTATTATGTAAATTCCCCATCTTCAGTTATTTATACCTGTATTGGTATAAATGCAGCTTATATTTTGGGTGAGATATGTCATGTATCTCACCCAAAATACACAAGGAGTCCTCATTTAGCTACCACTATTGAGTGGCAATTTGGTTATTAAGTAAAGCAGTCGCTGTGAAGCCAGGATTATACTTAAGATCTTATTTCAGCTTTCCTTTGCTTGTGAAACTTGTCAGAAATTTACTTTTTAATTATTGTCATAACTGAACAGTAGCTAAACAAGACAGTTGCTAAACGAGGACTGCCAAAATAACACGTATGTGATGTACCTGAACTGAAAGGAAATGTTTGTTTCTTGGGGCCCTCGCTAGAGGCAGGAATTTATGGGTTCTTGACTTTTTCCCAGGGTTTTGACCTGCGTGTGGAGCACACCCACTGTTTCAGCCACCACGGCGAAGGAGGCCACTACCATATGGACACAACGCCAGAGACTGTAGAATATCTGGGGTATTTTGTGCTTGCTGAGTTCCTCTTTCGGATCGACAGACCAAAGGAGACTCATATGGTGGGCCGGGATTAAAGTCTAACCCGCCCAAGAAGCTGGAATTAATTAAGGAGCAGAAAATCAAGAGATGACTAAATCTGCTTTTCAGTGAGGTCAACTAATGTCGAATCACAACCTGAATTATTTGTTTGGCACTTAAAAATAAAATATGGCAAAACTGATTTTTTTCAGATTGGAAATGTAGCACATTCTGGCTGATTGCAAAACAAAACTACAGGAGCCCAATTTTCACTGAAATATTTACATTTTAGATCATTTGGCTCCCCTTCTTTCTGTCCTTAGCATCTAGATTTTGGCTGCAATCTGGGTGGGGATTCTATGCCTATCCCAAGATGGCTGAAGTATAATTTCTGTCATCTGTCACTGCATTACATCAGAGAAAGGAAACCTTCAGAGAGCATAGCCCTCAATGAGTAAAGGAGTTAATTGCATAACTTGGCCCTCCTGCTCTCTGCTGCACCCTTGTGGCAGAGAGGCAAAACCCGTGTTGGCCAAGATCCCTTCCCCTTGTTTAGGAGAATTCTGAGTTTAGTTATCTATAATAATCAGAATAGAGCTGAAACGGATCTTGGAGGTCATCTAGTCCAACCCCCTGCTCAAGCAGGAGACCTTATACCATTTCAGACAAGTGGCTGTCCAGTTTCTTCTTAAAAACCTCCAGGGATGAAGACTGAAGGCAAGCTGTTCCACTAGTGCAGGAGTTCCCAACTGGGGGTGCGAGACGATATTCCAGAGGGTGCGAAAACTTGGGTTTAGAAGTTTCAAAATTATAGTGTATATGCATAATTCGTTATTTTGAACTTTTGTAAGGAGTGCGAGAATATATCGGAAGCGTTCTAGGGGTGCGGGGTATAGAAAAGGTTGGGAGCCACTACACTAGTTAATTGCTCTCACTGTTAGGAAGTTTCTCCTTCATTCCAGGTTGCTTCTCTCTTTGATTAGTTTCCATCCATTGTTTCTTGTCTTGTCTTCTGGTGCTTTGGAAAATAATTTGAACCCCTCCTCTATGTGGCAGACCTTCAAATACTGGAATGCTGCTATCACGTCACCCCCTAGTCCTTCTTTTCTCTAGACTAGCCAAAACCAAATCCTGCAGCCGTTCTTCATATGTTTTAGTCTCCAGGCCTTTAATCATCTTAGTTGCTCTTCTCTGCACTTTCTCCATTACTTTTTGTAATGTGACCAAAACTGGATGCAGTATTCCAGGTGTGGTCTTACTAAAGATTTATAAAGCGGTACTAATACTTCACATGATTTTGATTCTATGCTTTTATTTATACAACCGAGGATTGTATTAGCCTTTTTGGCTGCTGCCGCACACTGCTGGCTCATATTTAAGTGATTGTCCATTAAGACTCCAAGTTCCCTCTCACAGTTACTGTTTTTGAAAAGAAAGATTTCTCCTCATCAGTGCAAAGAGCAACCCAAATTACAATGCAGTGAGAACTGTTCCTGGGCTGAAGCATTTCCAGGCTGAGCTCCATAATACCAAATGTTGGGATACAATGTTCTTGGGTCATTATACAAAGTGTATGCGACCCAAAACCATGTTTCTTGCTTAATAATCACAGAACATCATTCCTTCTCTAAGACACGAAGAGTCTGTGATGGTGAAGTTATTGTTTGTGCTAGAGGTGTAAATAGCTTGCTTCCAATTACAGGTAGTCCTTGATTTACAATTGGGATCAGAATTTCTGTTGCTAAGGAAGCAGGCTGTTAAATGAGTCAGGTCTGGTTTTACAACCTGTTTTTGCCACACTTGTTAAGTGAATCACTGCAGTCGTGAATCGTGCAGTCGTTAAAGCAAATCCAGCTTCCTTCATTGTCTTTGCTTGTTGGAAGCTAGCTGGAAAGGTTTTAAACAGTGATCACATGACTCCAGGATGCTGCAACCATTGTACTGTAAATCAGAGGTCACCACCCTTTGTCGGTTGTTGGACCCGAGGAAAAGGGAGGAAGAAGCATTTTACATGCGTGCGTCTGCGCACACAGGACCGCAAGCACGCGTGTGCTGCAAATGGGACGGGGCTAGCGCCCAGGTGATACTAGCCCTACCCCATTTTTGTGTGGCGCAGCACCTTGTTTCTGTGTCCCACGATGTGGTAGCAGCCATTTTTGGGGCACAATGGTGCCCTGTTTTTGTGCCACGTGGCGGGGGCCCATTTCTGCACCCTGCGACACAGCAGTGACCCATTTTTACACCCTGCAGCCACGGTGCTAGCACAAGTGAGGGGATGTGCATCCACATGCACGCACACTGGCCAACCTGTCCCACCTGTGTGTGTGTGTGTATGTGCATGTTGCTGGATAACATGGTTGTTAATACAGTGCAATCCTAAATTTATTCACAAATAAGACCATTGAATTAAAATACTTGCAACCATTGCCTCATACTGTCCAAGGGAGTACAAAACGGAGTTCAAAAGCGTTACAAAGATCATTTAGTGCAACCTTTTCCATGGTGCAGAAAAACACGGCATTAACATATTCAGGGGCATCAGTTCTGTATCTCTGTCCATTCCACTTTTGTATAAAGGAGCACCCGGAGGCTTCAAATGGTCCAGAATGCGGCCGCGCGGGCGGTGTTGGGAGGGACTCGTCGCTCCCATGTGACACCGCTACTGCGCGAGCTGCACTGGTTGCCAGTGGCCTTCCGGGTGCGCTTTAAGGTGTTAGTTACCACCTTTAAAGCGCTTCATGGCATAGGACCCGGTTATCTCCGAGACCGCC